GTAATACTCTTAAATGTGATCTTTAGCAAATAATGAATATATATTCATATATAAATAATGAATATATAATGAATGCATTTTTTTCATACTCATGCAAATTTCAATTTGTGATTCCTAAATTCACTTGTAGCATTTAAACCAATTGATTTTAGTTTTTGATTCTTTATTTTTATTTATTTAGACTTTTTAATATCAACTCTTTACGCATTATCAGCCAAAACATGAAAATAATTATCAGTTTATTTGTTTCAAACAGAATTTTAATATTGTGGCATCTCTATTTTGCGCATTTTAAAATAAGGTGTGGTGTCTAATGGAGCCATGGGCATATGAATATGACCTGCATAAAAGCATGAATAAACCCTCTATCTTTCTCCTCCTTTGACTCACTGCTCTCTTTTATTTTCCTTGTGTATTTGGCACATGGATCAGGCGATGTTCTCTTCAGTGTGTTGAGTCAGTGGTCCGGCTGTGCCATCAGTCCGTGTCCTGCGTCTCAGTGTTGTCTGTGCTAGAGAGATGTAGAAGTGTGAAAGGGAGATGCAGCAGCGCTCGTCTTGTTTTATTCCTCGTTCTTTTGCATTATTGATGGAGCGCTTCTCTGAGCTTTTGCAGCATGTTGTGTCTTTCTTTCCAGCTGGCACTCATGTGAAGGATTCTCGCTCGCTCACTCACACACTCCAGACAGGCGGAGGACTCTTGTGCCCTGAATGATTTGGGAAGCATGATTTTTGTGTCAGTCATTAGACTCGAGGCCCAGTTCTGCTCTGCAAAGCGGCATTTAAAATCAGACTCCTGTCAGCCTGATTTACTTCTACAAAAGTATGCTAGTGTTACTTCAAACACACCAAAATAAATGTGCGCACACACACAGTGGAGTCATATTAGAAGAGGGTACTTTTTGTCTTGCTCTCTTCATCTGCGTGTCATGAACAGTTATGCATTTCTGCATGTTGTAAATAACCAGATTAAAATTTTAACCAACCCACGAGGCAAAAAGCAAGTGTGCATTTCTGTGCTGCTGCTGGTGTCTTGTCCCGCCTGTCCTCGAAATCTTTGTTGTCATGGTGACAAAGAGTTTCTGCCACATGCTCAGAGAACTGTCACACACACACACACACTCAGCACCCCTAAAGTTTATTCTGAGTACTACATGTTTCTCATGTGTGAGTGGGGCCTGTGAAGTGGGGTGTAGTAAACAACTAAATATTAAGCAGCACAGGTTTTAACATTGATAGTATGTAGGGATGTAACGATTAACTGCGAGCCGGTTGAAAATCGATTTAAATATGTGACGATTCAAATCGGTTGAGATGCTAAACAAATCGCGATTCAATTAGGGGTAGGAGTTTATAAGATTTGAGTGAATCGTTACATCCCTAATAGCATGAAATGTTTCTTGAGCAGCAAATCAGCATATTAGTATGATTTCTGAAGGATCATGTGACACTGGAGACTTGAATAATGGCTGCTGAAAATTCAGATCTGCCATCACAGTTTATAATTACATTTTGAAATATATTCAAATAGAAAACAAGTATTTTAAATTGTAATATTTCACAATTTTATTGTATTTTTGATCAAATAAATGCAGCCTTGGTAAGCATAGGATACTTACCTACCCCAAATTTGTGAAAGGTAGTTTACAGTTCAATTGAGTTGTACCATTATTTTTTTTTAGTCAAGCCAAGTCATTTTTTTTTATTTAAGCCCTTTTTTTACAACATTGTTTTGATTGCTTTAAAGTAAATTCTCAGTGATAAACAGGAAAGTACCAGAATTAATGATGCAAACTTCAAAAATGGCAAATCCAAAATTTCTGCTATAAAGCAGCTGTAGCAATGCAATATTGTATCATTTTTCAGCTCCAGCCAGTTCAGTGTTGGTTCAGTTCAGTTCAATAACTATGTAAAGTTCATTTATTATTAAACAGGATCAATTCAGCAGTAAGTAGCTCAACTGAAAACAGTAGTGGTGTGATTCAGCTCGAATCAGTTCAGTGTTGATTCAGTTCAGTAACAATGTGGCAAAATTCATTAAATATGAACAAATTCGATTTGGCTGTTCAGCTCAATTCAGATCAAGTTTTGTTCTCATCCAAAAGCATCAGTGCCATGAAATTAATAATATTACTGAAAGCGTCTTTTAGACCCCAACTAAGCAAGCCAAAGGGAACTGTGACAAGGAACCCAAACTCCATCAAGTTACAGAAATGGAGGGAAGAAAAAACATGAGCAATGAGAATCTCTATCTAGTACTTTAAAAGATCAAGAACAACATCCTGTATTCTATGATATGCCTGTTTGGAATGGCTAAAGAGTTTTTTTTTTTGTGCTTTTTTCTTCAACATTCTTTTGCATGTTTTCTCATAAGGTTGTGACCTGTGTGAGCTAATTAGAGGAGAGTGTTTTTTGAAGATGAGCGGAAGCGGCTGTTTTTAAGATGTCTCTTGAGTGTGCATGAGGCTCTCTCTCTCATACAGAGCACGAAGCTTGTGTTTGAGACTATATTGTTCCTTTTAGACATTGAGCCGATGGGGGGAGAGTTCAGCCATAAAGGTCTTCTGGTACAAATGAAGAATCGTTTAAAGCAGTGGAGCTGTGGATCAGGCTCAGTTTGAGTCCAGATGACCTGTGACCCTTAGAGTCTTTTCCTGGGGAGGAGAGAATGGATGGATGATATTGTAGTGTCCTTAGAGCTGCTGTGAGGAGTTTGACATAAGACTGTAATATTATCTGTAGTCATGTAATCTCTCCTCTCCTCTTCTTCTTTTTTCTGCTTTTTTTTCTTCTCCTTCTATCTGGTCTTCTCCTCTGTTTTTTGCTCTCTTAAATTGTTTTTAACTCCTCTTATCTAAATGCCTCTCCTCTTCGGTTTTCCTCTCTCCTCCCCTTTGTCTTTCCTTTTCTTCTTCCTTCTTTCTAGTCTCTTCTCCTTTCTCCTATTATCTCTTCTCCTCTATTTTGTTTTCTTCCCCCACTTGTCTGTTCTTCCTCTTTTTTTTCTTCTTGTGTTCTCCTCTCGTCTCCTTTCCTCTTTCGCCTCTTGTCTAATCTTCTCCTCTGCTCTCTCCTTTCTTGTCTTCTCCAATCCATCTGGTCTCCTCTCCTGATTGCTTCTTTACTCCTCTCCACTCCAGCTTTCACATCTCCCCCCTTTTTATTGATTTCTCTTGTCTCTATTATTATTATTTTTTACATCTTTTCTGGTCTTCTACTCTGCTTTCTCCTTTCTTGTCTCCTCCCTTCTCCTTATTTCAGGTCTCCTACCCATCTTCTCTCCTCCCCTCCTTTCTTGTTTCCTTATTTCTACTCTTCTCTCCTTCTGCTTCCTCCTTTCTTCCTGTTCTCCGTTCTGTTCGCCTCTTCTCCTTACTGGTCACCTTTCCACTTGTCCTTCCTTGTGTTCTTCTCCGCTGCTTTGTCCTTCCTTCTCATTTCCTCTCCTCTTTTTCTGGTGTCGTCTGCCGTCTCTTCTCCTCCGTTCTGTTTGTCCCTCCTCTTTTCTGGTCCCGTCTGGTCTCCTCTCCCCACTCCATGTCTCTTTGCATTTCTTGTCTCTTCTCTCCTTCTGTCGTTTCTCCGGTTTTCCCCTCCTCTATCCTCCTGTCCTGCTGTGTCCTCCCTCCTCTCTTCCTCCATCTCCGCTCTTCTCTGCGTACGGCGAGGGAGGGCAGGGGAGCTGACGTATGTGTCCTCTCCGCTCTCACTAACATTGTTTATCATCCACCCAATCCAGCATGGAGCTGAATGTCTGATGAGGCAGAGAGAGGGCCAGAGAGGAGGATTGGTGTGCAGTAAATCAGTTAGTCTGTAAATGAGATGAGAGTGAAGGAGAAACAGTCTGAACTGAGGAGGGCATGAGGAGAATCTGGAACGTAGACTGACATTGAGATGATACAACACACACACTAAACGCTCTCTGATCTATGGTGTCCTCGAAGTGGGCGCACACTCAAACGAAACCCTTTGATGGAGCTCCTTCAGTCGTTTGAAATTCCTCTTTCTTCTTAGAAACACACACACACAAGTCACTCAAACATGCACACAGTATTCCTGCTCCTTACATTCACTGCACACTGATAATATGAGCCTGATTATAGCGTTTTGCTTGAAGACCCTCAGTAATCGCTCTCTGTCTCGTTCCCTTTCATCCTTTATTCTCTTACTGTCCTCGTTCTGGATTTAAGACTCCACTGTGCCACAAAAGGATTATCGTGCCTTCTCCAAACAGGAAATGCATACACAAAGAGCCATCATGCCTCAAACCTCAGGCATCTCAACGTACTCGGGAGAAGATTGATTGAGTTTTTTTGGTCATGTCTGAATTAAAAAATAAAATAAAATCTGTTGTTTTCCCCCCTAACTTTTCTTCATACAGCCAAGGTATCTTTTCTGTGCTATTATGTTGTTTTAAAGGGATAGTTCACAGAAAATTGTCATTATTGACTCAAACCTGTATGACTTACTTTCTTTTGTGCAGCATAAAAGATATTTTTTGAAATGTCTTTTCTTTTCTTTTTTTTGCATCCATACAATGGAAGTCAATGGTAACCAAAACTTTTTGGTTTCCAACATTCTTAAAAGCATCATCTTTTCTATTTTGCTAAAGAAAGTAAGTCATATAGGTTTCAAATGACATAATGGTGAGTATATGTTGACATGATCTTTTTTATTTTTGAGTAAACTGTCCCTTTAGACAGGCATGACACAAGTTTCCTTGTTTGTCCATCCATAAGATGGTCATAAGGTGACTTTTCCATATGATAAAACAGCTTGTATGTCCTGTTCAGGGATTCAAACTGTTTAAATCTTCGAAATCAATGATGTACCTAAAAACATCTATATTAAAAACGTTATTAACCTTGAGAGACTGAAAGTTTGTGTATGTGTGGATCGTCCCTTGTGTCCTTCTGTCATTTAAGAGATGTAATCGACTTTGTCTTTTATAAGCATCCTGTCTCTGTACGTAATGTCTCCCTCTCTCTCTGTCTCCTGCAGTTTTGGACATGGCGCGTCACGTCCCCCTGTATCGTGCTCTGTTAGAGCTGCTGAGGGCCATCTCCACCTGCACCAGCCTGGTTCCTCTGCTCTTGCCGCTATCAGGAGACGCTGCAGAGGAAGAGGAGGATGAAGAACGCACCGAGTGTCAGACCTCCGTCGGCATGTTACTGGCCAAAATGAAGACCTGTGTGGACACCTACACCAACCGCCTCAGGTGAGCTCTTCCTTTTAGACACACACACACACACACACACACACACACATTCAGTCCACCGGTCGGTCACACTAATGGACAGAGGACAGACGGAGTGACTGCTGATGGATGGATGCCCACCCTGTGACACTCACTGTCTCTGACCTCCATGGAAAAACCTGGCTTATACCCACAAGATGTAACCTGATGCTATAGCCACAAGTCACAACCAGTGTTTCACCAGAGGAGTAACACACAGTGATAAATGACTGCTAGATCAGTCAGTGCTCCTCAGCTGCCCCCGAAAAGCCTCTAATCCCCAGTGGCCTTCAAACTGTCCTGAGCTTTTGCCTTCTCACGCTAGTCCATAATTTAGCTTTGGCCTTTTTAGTGTGTTTTTGCCAGAATTTTCGCTGAACCCACCACAAAAAAATAAATCATGAATTCGATTTTTAGCAACGTATTGTGTATCAGAAATATTTTTTTTTCTTTTTCTTTTTTTCTTTTCTTTTCGTTCTTTCGTTCGTTGTTCTTTTTTTCCAAAAAAAAGTTTTGTTTAATTTACAAATGTATTTTTAAAATTCTTAATTTCTATAATTTGTTTATTATTATTATTTTTATTTAAATTTTTGTATTAATGTTTTAACAATGAAACAAACTTATTTGTATAAATATGAATTAAAAATACATATTTATTAGGGCTGCACGATATATCGTTTCAGCATCTATTTCGCGATGTGCGCATCCGCGATAGTCACATCGCAGGATGTGCGATGGTTAGTATACTGATCGTTATATTTATACTGATCGTTTTCTTTGCTCACACACAGACACCGCGTCTACACCGGACGCGACAGCTGTACAGAGATACCCATTTTTAAATGAAGTTAGTAGCAGAGCTACTGCAAGCGATTTTCAGTGCTGGAAATCCATTTATCCTTTGTTGAAACTTCTGGGTCGTCGTGGAGAGCGCAGGTCATGGTTGCTTAGCAACGGCAGACGCCACGAAAGCGCAAGCTCCCGAGCACTTTGGAAAGAATGAGAAAAGGCGCGACATGTGAACAGCCCCAAAGTCTTTCTACACTGGACGTGACAAAGCGACCTTTGAAAATCATTTGAACTTTGTGCCAGTACGTCATAAGTAGAACGAGGCATCAGTTTATTGTCGGGGATTTGTCGTGTCGCGTCGCGCCGCATCCAGTATAGTCAGTCACACCGCATCACTGATTATAATGGGTTCTATAGTATTTTGTCGCGCCGCATCCAATGTAAACAGCGTCACTGATTATAATGGGTTCTATAGTATTTTGTCGCGCCGCATCCAGTGTAAACCGCATCAGTGATTATAATGGGTTCTATAGTATTTTGTCGCGCCGCATCCAGTGTAAACCGTATCACTGACAGCGTCACTGATTATAATGGGTTCTATAGTATTTTGTCGCGCCGCATCCAGTGTAAACCGCATCACTGATTATAATTGGTTCTATAGTATTTTGTCGCGTCACGCCGCGCCACATCCAGTGTAAACCGCATCACTGATTATAATGGGTTCTATAGTATTTTGTTGTCGCGCCGCTCGCGTCTGATGTAGACACGGTGAGAGCCACGCAGATGCACGTTGAACATCGAATTCCGTTCACGTCCGCGTCTATTTGTGCCTGAAATGACACATACGCGCGAAATTGTCAAAATGCATGTCTCTGCAAGTGTCCTTAGGTGAAGGTAAACAATTGAGAATCAAATTAGTTTAATGTTCCTGCTTTCTGTCATGAATGTTAATCAAACAACAAAACACATAGAGAAAAACACTTTAAGCTTTAACACAGATTTATTAGATTTAATTTATAGTGAAAACTGTGCATTGTTATTTTACATTTGATTATTCCATTTCACATGATTAATTTTACTTGTGATGTTTTCTATATGGGATGATTAGCCTAATCCTCATGAACACGTGACGCTGGCGCGTGGTATCAGACATGAACTATACAGAATGCGAACAAGATTAACTGTAATACAAGGAGATAATGGCGCAAAAGCAATTTCAGATTTTTTTAAATGCCCAGCCCAGCAAAAACTTTCAAAAATCGGCATCCAAACAACACCAGCCCCAGCACGAGCACCGACGTAAGTGAACCAGCCCCCACCCTCTCCCTCACCCAACACGGACACACACAGCACCCCCAAACGAAAACATCTTCCCGCGCCCCTGCTGTAGGGCAGTATTTCTTGAGACTTGAAACAGAACTGAAGCAAAAGCAGGACAGTGCTGGATGTATAGTGGTCAGTCAGGAGAGGGATGGTGTGTATTTCACTGGCTGAAAGACACTCCCTGCTTGTCTGAGGGCCTCGGGGGACATGGAGTGACTGTTTGCTCTGACAAAATAAGCCAAAGAGAATCGCCTGATCGTTTTCTCCAAGGATTTTTAAACGGAGAGTCAGCTTTACTGGGCACTTTTGTTTGTCAGACTATTCTTAATCTATGTCGTGCTAATTCTTTAAGATCTTTCATTTGAACCAGCGGCCCTTAGTCATAGCCAGGGTGTATTTTCAGTCAGGGATGTTGTGTGATCAACGTTTAGTCCCTCAGAAAAACGGATGTGACCATGGCAATTCCTAATCCTGCGATTCAAAGCTCTTGAGATAAGTCACATCCGTTTATTAACATTTACAAATATGTCCTTCTGAGGTCCTCTAGACCAAAGCTAAGTGAGTGTTTGCTCCTAGGCAGAAACCCTTGTGGTCATGAAGAAGTAAGGTTTGGAAATAGCAGGAATTTCCACTCTTACGTTGGAGAACCACATCAGTACATCCACATATGTGACCCTGAACCACAAAACCAGTCATAAGGGTAAATTTTTCGAAATTGAGATTTACACATCATCCGAAAGCCGAATAAATATAATGAATAAATAAATAAAATGTTGTTATGATAGGACAATATTTGGCCGAGATACAACTATTTGAAAATCTGGAATCTAAGGGTGCAAAAAAATCTAAATACTGAGAAAATTGCCTTTAAAGATGTCCAAATTAAGTTCTTAGCAATGCATATTACTTCACACGCACGCATGCTCGCGGGCGTGAATTAAGAATCACAAACGGCTGTTTGTCTTCAAAAAGTCTTCAAGGCATTTTAGGACACAACATCGTCAAGTAAGTAACTAACGAATGTTACAGTATTCACTGTAGTTGTCCGCTAATAAAAACATAGTTTTATCAGTCATTATCCGTGTATGCCATTGTTTTGCGTTT